ATTGATTGAAAGCTTTGAATAATGGGGGGTTCTTGCAAAGGAGTAGCGTGAGACGGTGAATCAATTGGTGTTTTCAGGATACATGAACAAGCTTAAGATCAAGGGAAGAGAAAGAGTTAGAATCAACATCAAACATTGGGTTTGTAGAGTTGCATTGCTACATCCCTCTTGTAATCAACTTTTTGCAAAGTAAGATTAAAATCTTAATTCCATTTGGAATTGGGGGCAGACGTAGCCATAGCGAGTACGATTGGTGAACTGTCTAAACAAATTTTTGTGTCCTCTCTCTCTCATTTACTTTTATATACTTTCTATAGTAAATTGTTAAATTCATTAATTGTGTAATCGATACATATAGACAAATATTTTGATTGTTATACTTGAAATTTCTTGTTGATTGCATTATAATTAAATAGATTGTAAGTGGTATTTCATATCAACAAAGTCAAAAGGAAAATCTAAAAAATCAATTGGACACTAAATATTCGATAATTTGCTAGTTTATATTTTTGTCAATAATTTCATTGGAAATAGGTTTACGTTGTGATCATAGTAAAATGATTGATTGATAAATTATTGTATTAAGTTCTTATAATTTTCTTGTATTTCATACGGTATATTACGCATATCCGAGTTTTCAATAATCGGTTCAGTTTAGATGACTTGTTTGATGTAGGCTAAAACTTCCCTTGCCATAGTTTTTCATTTGTTTTAGAAACAAAATTTAAAAAGGTATTTTTAATTTGAGGATCTATTCACCCTCTCCTAGATAAGTCGTCGTCGTCTAACATAATAGTGCTTGATATGTTTGCTCAAATGATAGTGCTTGACATATTGCTAATCAAGTGATGGAGTTTGATATGTTTGCTCAAGTAATGGTGCTTGATATATTGTTAATCAAGGGATGGTGCTTGACAAATTTATTTATTATATTTGTTTTTCTAAAGTAATAAATTCTATAGAATAACTAGTATGTTTGATAAAAATATTAAATATGACTTAGTTGCGAGACTCTATTAAACACAATGGCATTACTCGTAAAATATTTATAGTCAAGCTTTGTTGTGAAGTGGAATAACATAAATATTATTATGTGAGAGGCTAGTAAACACATCTCACAGATCATGGATAAAAAGTTATCAAATCTTCACATATGTATAAATATTAGAATTACAACTTATATAGGATTGACATACCATGAGAATACTGCATAGAATTTTATGCATGTGCCATAAGTTATTCTCTTAATAAAAAATCAGTGAGATTTCTTGACATTCTTCAAAGAAAATCTGGATAGAGCATTTGATAACTACGACCTACTTTCCTTTTGGACATTAACTAACAAATGTGTTAACGAAGGGTTCACAAACAGAACAATTTTTTCAATCAACTTACTTGCAACTTTTGAATAATTGAGATTTATTTACTAATTTGAGGGAGAGTGTTGTAAACAAGATTGACAGACTGGCAAGTCTACTCAGACTCGTAAAGAGTCCGTAGACTCGAGTAGCAAACTCGTACGAGTCTATAAAAATTTAAAAGACTTAAAAAATTTGTAAATGACATATATATGACACACATATTTTTAAACATGTAAATGTCACATATATGACACAAATATATAGTAGAACATCAATTGACATCAAATTTTAAATTTCACACTCCATAACAAACTTTTTAACAAAAAAACCTCGATAATAAAACAAATAAAATATCAAAATATGTAGTTAAATATTAAAGTATTATTTCCTTTTTAATTAGCTAATACATAAAGGAAAAAAGTCATAATACATATAAGCTAATGACTTTAAATATTCAAAACTCTAGCAAAATCACCACCAGCAATAGAATAATATATATTTTTTTAAAATAAGATTTAATATTTTTTTTTTCTGTCCTGTATATTAACCACAAAGTTCATTTTAGTCTCTGCAACTTAAAAAATATTTATATTGGTCTATTAACTCTTCAAAATATATTATTAATCTTTTTCGTCTAATTAACTATTAATCTTTTTCGTTTAATTAACGATGAAAAAACTCAAAAATATGTCGATAATTAAATGAAAATAACTAACATGATAAATTTTGAAGAGTTAAGAGACCTATATAATTTTTTTTAAGCTAAAGGACCAAAATTAACTATGAGATTAACATACGGGAACAAAATAAAATATTAAACTATAAAAAAAAGGGGAAATTTGCGTCCTTTTTTGTTTTTTTTTTTTCTTTCAAAAAAACATATTGACTCATAAATCTGTCATTGAATCGCGAGACTATACGAGTTTGTGCAAGTCTACTCAAGTCTATAAAAAAACGATTCTATATCCAATTATACTCATTTTTGTTTCTTAAATTTACGAGTCTACCCGCAAGTTCGACAATCATGATTGCAAATAATAAATGTAAGTAGTACTATATAATATTAATCAAACTCTTAAGAGGATCGAAGCTATCTGTCGGTCGTTTCTCTGTTCTGATTATGAGAATATTACTCGTAAATCTCTTATAGCTTGGAAGAATGTTTGCTCTCCTAAATTTAAAGGTGGTTTAAATATCGTGGCTCTGCATGTTTGGAGCAAGGCTTGCTTAGCTAGGTATTTGTGGAATTTGACCGAAAAAGCAGTCAGTATGTGGATCAGATGAATCCACATCTACTACTTGAAAGGCACAAAAATAATGCAGACTCCCATTAAGATGTCAGCTTCCTAGATTGTCAAGAATATCTTATCCCTGAGAAAGGAGGTAAATGTGATGCAGGAATGGGCAAAAATGGTGCAGCAGGATAAATATTCTATCAAAACTATGTCACTACTACGGAAAACTCATTTAACAATGGTTGGAAAACCCATATAATCACGCGGGTCTAGGCATTGTTGTGTAGAGTGTTGTTGTAAATGTGTTACTTACAATCATGATTCCGAAACCGTTGTAGTATACTGGAAATTTTACGTGATATCGCAACAGTTAGTTAACTTATAAACCATTGTTGTATGTCTTTTAATAAAATAAAAAAATAGCAGTAGAACAACAATAGCAGTAAGAACAACAACATGAACAACAACAAGAACAACAACAAGAACAACAAGAACAACAAAAACAAGAAGAACAACAACGACGACGACAATAACAACAATAATAACAACAACAACAACAACAACGTACAATAACAACAATAACAAGAACAACAATAATAAGAACAAGAACAATAACAATAACAATAACTAAAAAAGAACAACAACAACTAACATTGCTAACTTGAATAAATACTTTCCTTGTCTCATTCAAGATGGAGAAATAGAGTGTCGTAAATGAAAGATGATGTTTGAAGATAGAAGATGAAGTTCGTCTAAGTTGAAAGTTTGTCTAAGTTTTAGGTTTCACGCGGATCGATAATAGGGGTGTCCTGAGCGTTGATAGTCACTTCAATGGACGATTGAGATTTATTTAAGGATGGTGAAGAAACTCAATAATTATGCTACATACAACAACGATTGTATTAAATAATCGTTGTTGTATGTATTTTAATAAAATATAAAAAATGCAGCACTAGAAAAGCAACAACAACAAGATTCGAACTCATGAACATGTGCGCTACATACAATAATGGTTGTATTAAATACCCGTTGTTGTATGTATTTTAATAAAATATTAAAAATACAGCAATAGAACAACAACATCAAGATTCAAACTCATGATCATGCGCCACTTTTTACTACGGTTGAAACTTTCAACCTTAGTGAAAAGTGGCTTAATTTTGAAAAAAAAATGCGCCTAGTAGAATAGATTCTACCATGGTGGATCTTTTGACGTGGTGACTTAGGTATTGTTGTTTGCGTGCTTTGTAGTAGTGTGTACAAAGCTTTTTGCGTGCATATGCAGGATGTGCCTTGGAAAATAGTGCTTTATGGTAATGTTGCTAGGAAGAAAGATATTCACAGATTGTGAATGACTTGCCACAGACAGTTCCCTGCTAAAGAAAGGCTCAACATGTTTGGCATGATGGATAATAGTATATGTTGTTTCTTCCGGGAGGTAGAAACAGTGGATCACCTTTTTTTAATGGCCTGTTATGAAAGGCATGTCGGAAAATGTGCTTATCTGCTTAGAGAAGGACCATAGCCCCCAAAGATGGACCGATGAAATAGCATGGTTTATAGAGGAATGCAATAAAAAAGGAGGGAAAGTTCGAATTATGCAATGTACTTTTTACAGAAACTATCCATGAGAGTTAGAGATATAGGAATTATATTTGTTTTGGTGATAATATGATAGAAACTGACACTGAACATAAATAATTTGGAGAATAGGAATACTTTATTGATGATAATTATGGTGGACAATCAAAGGACCAGACTAATATGCTTACACTGGTTATAGAAAAGAGTGCAGAATATTAGGACACACACTAAGATTCGAGAGCTTGGTTATCTCCCTCTCAAGTGTCTAACACTCACAACTTCAGGATGGTCAGATCACAGTTCTGTTTTCCCTTTTATTCTGCCTAGGTTTTATAATTGTTCTTAATATTAATTGTTACTCTAGTAATAATAATAATTGCTGCCTTTAGAAATCCATAACTGCTATAGATACCATTAACATGACTGCTTATTTGTCTGTGTTGCTATTACTTGATGCATTTATCTTGTTTTATTGGTGCTCCTTCCTCTTATAAGTATTCTTTATGAGGGGTCTAACATAATAGTTGTCCACAAGATTATTGATGTTGTAGTTTATAGATGCTGGGATAAACCTAGTCTCAGAAAGCATTTGTACAGGCATCTAATGCCTTAGATTTAGTCTCTATTGTCTTTGGCGCTTTTTTATGTAGCCTTGTTTGTAGTTAGATTATGTAGGATCACTTTGCTCCTTGTATGTTTTTTGAATCCTCAATAAAATTATTATTTGATTAAAAAAAAAATCTAAGACATATTAATCATTAATCAAAGTCTATTAGATTTATTTTTCTCATAATTTAAATAATATTGTCTCAGCATAGTAATGAAAATTTTCAATATATCAAATTTTTATTTTTCTATCATGCAGAAATTAGAGAAGCTCTTTCAAGTAGAAAGAAATTTCAATTACATTTCTCTAGTAACATGGGAATATGAAGTACTTCAAAGGAGTAACTACATAAGAATATACAAAAACGATTTCTAGATTGGCTTCTAACCACAAATCCTATAGACATTAAATGTGTTTCCAAAGAACTCTATTATACAAGGGATGTACCCTTAACATATTCTGTGAAAGCCAGAGCAATCAAACCCAACATAGCAATTCTTCCATTCCACAACTCTGCATCTGAGGACATGACATCTTTAGATTTAGACTCAACACTAACACCTTGAAAAAATGGAATCAATGAAGCAAGTGACAACAATACACTAGTCCCCAAGAACCACGGAACTCCACCACCAGACAATTGTTCAAACAAACCCTGCCCTTTTGCTATCTCCACCCCCATTGCTGCGACAAAACCAATCATAGCCAACCTTCCATTGATCCTCTCAGGTGCTGGCCCACCAAAAGCCATCAAATCTGAAAACTTTGTGCTCATCTGCCATATCATCATCATTATTATTTATTATAAGGGACTCATTAATTTGGACCAAAATCAATGCTTTATAAATCTAATTTAACAGAAAAACAAAGTAGTAATTTTGTAATACTATGCTCACTTTTGGTATACGAGTAGAGGCTGGTTGTGGTGTTGGTGTCGATGGTGGTGCAACTGGCTCTTTCTGCTCTTCCTGGATAATATAATAAGTAATTAGCAATGAATCATTCATAAATCATAGACATGTTTCATATGCGCATATCCTTAAAATCAGTTTGATAAAAGCATAATTACCTCAGCCATAGATCGAACTTTGAGGCTAACATTTCTTCTCAAGCTTGGAATGTAGACAGAAGGGATGTTGCTAATTTGGTTAACTCTAGACCTGCTAGAAATGTTGGCCATAGAGCTTAACATGATAGATTGATAAGATGAAACAGCCATTGATAATAGGATAGTTTTGTGAGTCTCTACACACTTTCACTACTAGACCTTATATGGTAAAGATCTGGTAAGTATTGCATACGAGAAGGTTGTTTAAATAGAATAAAATGAAAGGTCCTAAAGGTTATTGAAAGGAAAATGCTGTGGTGGATATTTAGCTTCCACGAATCTGCAGATGGATCCTAAAAGGTAATTGGATCACGTGGGTTCATTTGCCCACACATGGTAAAAGCATCAAACGTGGCCCTAGTTAGAACCAGAAGGTGCTACACTCACAATTTGAGGTTAGAAGAAGGGTTGTAAACTTGGAACTTTCAGGACCTCAACTGTTGTCTGTTTTTTACTGCTTATTAGTATTACTTTGGTATAGTCTAGAATGATCCTTAGTTAGCCAAGAACCTAAAACTCTTCAATTTTAACACAATATTTTTGCTCTAGCCTCGGTGCTATCTTTCCAAATCGCATTAGCTGGGAAATCATGGAGAGTTTACTGAACATTTCTTGCAACTATGATGGCATGCATTTAATTAATCTTGGTTTCAATGTTTATATTATTAGTGTTAATAAATATGCAAGTAACAGACAATTTGTGTCCAGTAATAAAAATATAGTGACAGTTAACAAGGGTATGACATGGATGCACAGGGAGGGAGTGGCAGCATAAGTGCATAACTGCTTTGCCATTTACCATATAATCAATTGCATTAACAAAAGAAATGCTTAATTCCTATTCACTTTACAGTATTGCACAGTTCTCTCTATGCAATTACTTTAGTGGTGGTGTAGTTGAAAACTCCCACATATATTGTGATAAACTACCATAGTCTCGTTTACCAGCAATTTCCTCAACAGGGACTGCATCAGATATTTCCTTCAACTGTTGTTCTGTAAGCTTCACATTCAGAGATCCAATGTTGTTTTCAAAGTTTTTCATTTTAGTAGTCCCTGTGGTATCAAACAAATATATCATAAATCATTTGATCAATAGAATCAATTTATTCTCACGCTTACAATATTTAAGATGACAAAGCAAAATCCAGAAAAATAGTTTGGTAGGCCATGTCAAGAATTTAACAAAAGAAAGCTAAAAAATCGTCACATATGTTGATCACACAACACAAGTATTCTTCCACAATATAAATAATGATAGTAGCAGGGATAGGGATTATGTCATTTCCCTGATGTAGAAGCCATGCTAAGGCTAATTGAGAAGGAGTGCATGCATGCTTTGAAGCCAAGTCATTGATTCTTTCATAGAAGCACTCGTTCTTTTCCAAATTTTCTCCCGTGCACCTGGGATGCATAGTCTGTTAAGAGGATATATGAAAGAGTTGGCAAATATATCAAACCAACTGGAGTATAATTGCAGCCAAATGCCCTCTGAAAAGATAATATTTCAATTTGTATACCTGCAGAGTGGAATTATCTCTTCTTCAATGTCACGAGACCATAAGGAGTACTCCATTTGTAAAGCCGTAATGGGATGAACTGCGTGCGCTCTCTTTATAGTGTCAGCATTTGCTTCTGACAGCCCAATATATCTTATCTTTCCTTCATTAACCAGTTGCTTGAGCTCCTCCATCTTTTACAAAGAGGTTAATGTTAGAGCATAATCACCTAGAATTTTTTAAGAGTTGGAAATGATTGGTATGCATAACTAAGAGGAGAGGAAAGTCATTCAAAACTTACTGTGTCCTCAATTGGAACTGAAGTGTCAACTCGGTGTTGATAATATAAGTCGATATAATTGACATCAAGCCGCTTGAGACTAGCTTCACAGCACTCCCTCGCATATTGAGGCGTACCTTTTACCCCCAAAACTATCCCATCCGATATAGTCACGCCAAACTTCGTAGCAAACTACACTCTTTCTTGAGGAAGTTCTTTTAATGTGTTGTGACAGAAGAAAAGAGCTATCCATAAGTTTATTTTTAACAATAGAAATCAATATATTTATTTATCCACTAGTCATAAAGAGTGTACATATCCTTTGAGAAGGCACAACTATACTACATTGCAACAACACATTAGTTTTATCCACAAAGCTTTTATGGTAATAGCAACTATATGAAAGAGTTAACAATAGAAATCAATATATTTATTTATCCACTAGTCATAAAGAGTGTACATATCCTTTGAGAAGGTACAATTATGCTACATTGTAACAACATATTTGTGACAGAACCCAGAAAATATGAACATCGAGTATTATTTACTGCAAATGGTGAAGAATGATAGAAACTCAAGAATTTGATATGAACTGCTGGTAACAGCATTGCTAATCCGGAGTGACAACAGGAGAAAAATACATAGAATTGCAATGAAAATGCTAGTCCCCTTGTTTTCATGTTTTTCCACAAAAGATGATATTGTAAGCGTTATCTATATGTGACTCAGTTGTAAGCACATACAGTTTGCAAATTATACAATGAATAATATGTTACGTTACCAACCATGAATTCATTATTGATGTTTGTGTCCGTAAATATCTGATGTATCGAAAAAGGTGTAATCCGGAAACTAGGTCAATTTCAAACAGTACCCGGAAAAAAAAAAGTGGAAGTTCAGGTGGCTAGGCTCGCTGATCATGTTGGACTCGAAGTGCAGTGACTTGTAATCCCTCCACTGTCAAGAGCCGAGAGTAGTCGCTGCTCTGTGAAGCCAGCCTCACGCGGTGCCCTTCTGTCTAGGACCGACGAGAATTGAGCTTTCGCTCAGGCCCCGTTGATCAACTCTCAACTTGGAGCGGGCAAGCCAACAGTTGCATCTTCAGGCCCAGACCAGAGAAACCAGAACCATGTTCCCCCACCTTAATGCCCTCGCTTGAGTTACAAGTTGATGCTATCCAACTCGGCAAGCTGACAGCTGTGTCAGACATTTATAAAGGCTTTTTTATTTTGTAAATTTGTCGATGTGGGACTTATCAATAAGTTGTGCAAATTAACTAATGTGACTTTATGTGAAGGACAAAAAAGGCATATGATAAAAGCAGAATGTAGTAATATAAGATGTTTACTGTCATCAAATATTAGATGTTGCAGATTGATGTTTGAATAACAATGAGAACAAATAATCAATGGCCATATTCCCACTGAATCTGAAGTGAATCCATTGTCTGTTGCATGAAAATAAAACTCAAATTGTGATAGTAAAACCTATATATTATTTTAAGAACCATCACCATACAACAAACCCATGGGTAACATTCCAACAATATTGAAGGATCCTTTCAGAACAAAAATCATAGTATATATGCCAAAAAGACATGAATGTATTTGTTGTACCGCTGACAACATATGGTGCTACATATCATTAAAAGCAAACTGATTTATGACATTAGTATATGGATTAGAAACAGATGAGGTTTCAACATTCATTTAAATTGCATCTCTAAGTTTATAAATACTTGTAATCAGCGACACTAAAGCCTTTGCTGCTCTGAGACCAAAAACTAGAACAGCTAAGAGAGTGAAGGATATGCAGAGAATGAAAAAAAGGGTTGAAATATTTACTGATATAATTGGATAATGACAGTTGAAACAAAAAAGTGGTTGTTCAGGTTGGCTAGACTCATCTGAGTTATCAGTCCACTGTCAGGAGCTGGACTGATTCGCTACTCTGTGAGAGCCTCCCTCACGCAGTGCAATGAAAGAGACTAAAGCCTTTGCCAATGTTCCAATTGGACAACTCTCTACTTGGAGCGGGCAAGTAAATGTTGCAATCACCATCCAAACTTGGCAAATCCTTAACCATGTTCCACCATGCAATCACCAACCCTACCTTGTTAGATACTATAAAAATCAATATTTGTCATGTATTACACAATATGGAACATATTTTATCAATGTTAACTACGGTAAGACTTCTTCCTCTCCCTGCAGGCTTAACTCTCATGCCTAATGAGCTATTGAATTAAATTGAGGTATGTTATTGCAGTTTATTTTGTTTTATGTTATTGCAGTTTATTTTGTTTTCGTCTTAATCGCATGTTGTTTGTGTTGAGAAAAAGTGAAATTCAAGTGGTCTTAACCGGTTACTTCTCGACTGTAATTAGTCACCATATCAAATAGAAGTTTCTTGTAATCGGTTATCATTTTTGGACAATCGGTTACCACCCAAGTTAATAGTGTCACCTAGCCGGTTACCAGAATGTATAACCGATGTCCAATTACATCTCCAATATTTGGCATCAAGAGTCTGGTTGTTTGATCAAACACTAAGTCTACGAAAATGATTTCCATCTCCAATGAATGTATTCCTGCAAATCTCTCAATTCTCGATGCGAAGAATTATGATAATTGGTACAAACAGATGAATGTGTTGTTTGATTATCAAGATGTTCTTGAAGTGATCAAGAATGGTGTTAATTCATTTGTGGAAGGTACAACTGCTGCACAAAGGACTGTGCATAAGGAAGAGAAGATGAAATATTTTAAAGCTTTGTATTTGATTCATCTATATGCTGAAAACTTTGAGAAGCCTGGTGATTGCACATCCTCAAAGGAGGCTTGGGATATTCTGGATTTGATTCAGATGGAAGAGAAGGAAACCAGTAGTAAATTTACTACAAGAATCACTAGATTGGTGAATCAAGTGAAGGCTTCTGGAGAGATAATCATTGAACAATATATGGTTGCTAAAATGTTGAGATCTTTAACACTATGATTCAATAATGTAATGGTTGCAATTGAAGAGTCTGAAAATCTTTCAACCATGAGCAAAAAATAATTTTGAAGTTCTTTTAAGGCTCGTGTGTAAAGAACGAGGGAGAGGAATGTTGACAAAGCAAAGGATGAGATTGCTTTGCAGACCTGTTTCGTTGGAAGAAACAAGAAGGTGAGGGAAAGGTGGTCCATGAAAAGAGGTGGAGGAAACTATAAGAACAATGGTGGAAAGTGTAACAGTCCAGGATTGCCTTCAGGATTACCAATTGGCCCCATAAACCAACACATGTCTTTTCAGCATGATTTGGCCTCACTCGTACGCTTTCCAGGAAACTTTCTAGAAGGTCACCCATCCCATAATTGCTCCAAGTCAAGCACGCTTAACTATGGAGTTCTTATGAATGAGCTACCGAAAAGAAGATGCATCTTGTTGGTATAGGTAGTACCAATTAATCTTTATAAGTTTTCCTTCAACAATACAGTCCCATACCTGCATAGCCTCGGGATCCCTCTCATTCCGATGTGGCGACCACCTTTGTCCTCTTATGCATCGGGTGTTATATGCGGTGTAACCACTCCTTGCCCTTTTCGGCCTCGAGTGTTACATGCCCACCAGCTTCCGCATGGTTCGTCCTCGACATGTCCTGCAACCTAATTCTGCTCGAAAATCTAACACATACCCCCGACACGCCTCACATCCTAATATGCCGCTTGGTACCTAACACCATCAGCATCCTCCTCGACCACTAGTTCGGCCAACATCACAAACACAATATTGCGTCTTAACGACCACACCACTACCATTCATAACTCCCGGCCAACCGCTCGGAATAACACAACAATGGGTAACTATATTTCCTATAACATGTTCATCAAACGTACAGGACCGTCATGCTGAAACCTCCCTAAACGACCACTTCAACAACTTACTACTTTTCCTGCCAACCGCTCGGGACAGCACAATATCATACCGACCACAATAACATAACGACCACGACCACCAGAAACAATCTACACTAACCTACTCATCGACTCTACCGGGCAGTCATACCACTCAAAACGTCCACAACATAACAGAACAAGCATCTTCACTTAACAGGTTCAACAACATCACGGGCAACAATCACAATTACGGCCAATTCTCCATAACAAACATCATAAATTCCATTATAAGGTCAGAACTCCACCTTTACCTGGATTGAAGGTCGCTCAACCAAAAACTCTAGCTGACGGCTTTGCTTTGTTCTGCTCGTCACCTGGCAACTTGCTTCTCTCTATGTGCAACTCTTTCGGGCAACGTACATGGCTTCTTATTCTCCAACTAAAATAATTCTTTGTGTCAGCTCAGCCTTATATATCAATCCTATTGGGCCTAACCTACATACCCCCACTTTACTACTTGCAACCAATAGCTTAAGTCCAACATTATATAAATATTCCCTTAATTCCAACATTATAATTATTATTAATCAACTAATTAATTAATTAGTAATGATCCAACAACTCATACCAATAATTCTTAACATCTCTCAACTTCACAAATAATCTAAAAATAATTTAATTAAATAAATAATTAATTAAATTACGGGCGTTACAGAAAGGACTCATAAAATTCTAACAATTCAACATTCCAAAAGGGTGAAAACAGCTACAACAGAGGTCGTGGATCAAGCAATTACAAAGGTGACAACAATAGAGAAAGAGGAGGGAGAAAGAAAGTTGATAAAAGCAATGTCCAATGCTGCAATTGTCAAAAACTTGAACATTTTACTAGTGAATGTGGTGCCAACAAGAAAGATTCATAATAAATTAAAGCAAAATTTGCAAGGCAAAAAGAAAATGATGAGAACACGCTGTTGAGGATGATCACTAAAGCAGAAAACAACGCAAGATGCATCAATAACTGGTTACGCTCTGCTAATAACTGATTACCAGAAAGAAAGTTGATGGGATGTGTCAACTCTTCTCCATCCATGTTAGTGATAATCAAAGCTCCACTGGAGAAAGCCTTCTTCACCATATACGGTCCTTCATAGTTTAGAACCCACTTGCCATGAGGATCCTTCTGAGGAGGGATAATCCTTTTCAACACCAGTTCACCTAATCTGAATTCTTTATGTCGTATCTTCTTATCGAAAGCCATCTTGAGTCTCTTCTGGTAAATCTAGCCATGACAAAGCATTGTCATTCTTTTCTCTTCAATCAAGTTGAGTTGATCGTATCTGTTTTGAAACCACTTTGTTTCTTCTAACTCAATCTTCATTAGAAGTCTGAGAGAAGGAATACCAACTTCTATGGGAAACACAACTTCCATTCCATAGACACGAGATAAGGGGGTTTCCTCCGTTGAAGTGTGAATGGATTTCATGTATCCATGCAGAGCGAAAGGTAGCATTTCGTGTCATTCCTTGTATGTCTTCACCCTTTTTTGAATGATTTTCTTGATATTTTTGTTAGCTTCTTCGACAACACCATTCATCTTTGGTCTGTAAGGTGATGAGTTGTGATGTTCAATCTTGAGTTATCATACAACTCTTTAATCAATTTGTTTTTTAGATTTGACATGTTATCAGTGATAATCTTTTTAGGATTTCCATAGAGACAAACTATCCCGTTCTTGATAAAATGGGTGACCACTTGCTTTGTCACATTAGTATATGAAACAGCTTTGTCATACCCCAAATTTTCCCTACTAGTTCCTGATATTTTTATTTCCATTTCTAAAAATTATTTTTTATAAAATATTATTCATAGTTATGGGGGTTTAAAGTTTATAAAGGGGGGTTTATCTTATAAAGAAATCATGGGCCTTTCTCAATCAGAAAAGGTCCATGTAACTTTTTAATCCATTTCAAATATTGAAAAGAGGGTGTATATGAGTAATTAATTTTCAGGAGGCCCAATAAGGTGAGATCATCTGGCCCATTGCAGTTTTTGTTTGTAAGAAATTGCTTTTTTTTCTTACTAAACATTATCATCAATTAACGTTACATGATATTATAGGGGCCATTATTTTATAAAATTAAACAAACTATTTTATTAAAATTTGAAGAAAACAATGCTTGATTAATGTGAAGCCATCTTATGGTCCACGTTACCGATCCAAAGTCCAAAACAAGTCCAAGCCCCAAATCCAATTTAGAAAATGTGTGACCTGAAAACATGAAACGGACACTGTTTGGATTAATCAAAATAAACGCATTGCTAAAACAGA